AAGACTTCACTTTTGAAAGTCCGTCGGACTTTGAAAAGTTTTTGAGAATTCAAAAAGAAGAAATTAAATCCGAAAAAGCCGAAAAAGAAAACGCGCAAACTCTCCTGCGGCTGCTGCAGGCCAAACAGGCCTCCAAAGACACAGAGGTCTGCTGCTGCTGCTGCTGCTGCTGCTGCTGCTGCTGCTGCTGCTGCTGCTGCTGCTGCTGCTGCTGCAGTGCTGCTGCTGCAATGCTATGCTGCTGCTGCTGCTGCAATGCAATGATGCTGCACTGCTGCTGCTGCTGCTGCTGCTGCTGCTCTAGTGCTGCTGCTGCAATGCTGCTGCTGCTGCTGCAATGCTGCAGTGCTGCTGCTGCTGCTGCTGCTGCTGCTGCTGCTGCTGCTGCTGCTGCTGCTGCTCCGAACTTGGAAGAGACTTGCACTGAATTAAAAGCCCAGTGGAATGTTTTGATTTAAAAGGAGAACAGAAGAAGTTTTTGTTTGAATGAAAAGCTTTGGAAGCTGCTGCTGCTTTTGCTGCTCAGCTGCAGCAGCTGCGGGAGGAGTGCGGGCGGCTGAAGGAGGAGCTGCAGCAGCAGCAGCAGCAGTGCGCTGCCTGCGCAGCAGCAGCAGCAAAGTTCGGCGCAGCAGCAGCAGCAGCAGCAGCAAAAGGGGACAGCAGCAGCAGACTCCAACAAGCCGAACTTATCAAAGAAAAACTCCAAACAGAAATCACCACAGAAAGAAAACTCAACGCCGCCTTGAGGGCCGACAAGACCGAGGCCCAAGTGAGTTTAGGGTTTAGGGTTTAGGGTTTAGGGTTTAGGGTTTAGGGTTTAGGGTTTGGGGGACGGGGGAGAGAGTTGCGGCAGACGTTAGAGTCAGCAAGCAGCCTCTACGGTTTCGTTTTAGGGTTTAGGGTTTGCAGTTGCGGCTGGCGTTAGCAGCGAGGAAACAGCAATTAGGGTTTAGGGTTTAGGGTTTAGGGTTTAGGGTTTGTTCTCGAGGGCAGCAAATGAAGCTGCAGCTCAGGTGTACAGACACCGCTGAAAATGAATTAAAATGATTTAAAATGATTTAAAATGGTTTGAAATGATCTAAAATAGTTTAGAATGATTTACAATGATTTAAAATGGTTTAAAATGATTTAAAATGATTTAAAATGATTTAAAATGGTTTAAAATGGTTTAAAATGATTTAATTGATTGATAAAATGATTTAAAATGGTTTAAAATGATTTAAATGATTAAAAATGGTTTGAAGTTTTGCTGCTTCTCAGCTGGAGCTGAGTCGGCTGCGGTGCGCGCGGCTGCTGGCGGAGGCGCAGCAGCAAAAGGGCAAAGAAGTGCTGCAGCAAAAGGAAAAGGAGCTGCTGCTGCTGCTGCAGCAGCAGCAGCAAATGGCCACGGAGCGGGCCCAGCTTGTGGGGAAAGTGCAGCAGCAAAGAGATCTGCTGCAGCGCTGCAGAAGTTATATTTTGTTTTTGGAAAAGATTATTAAAGACCTCAAGCGCCACATAGTCGCCCAAGCTGTCCATACACCCCAGCTCCCTGCAGCAGCAGCAGCAGCAGCAGCAGCAGCAGCAGCAGCAGCAGCGAAGGAGACGCGGCTCCCGCCCGCCCGCAGGCAGCACGCGAAGAAAACGCAGCAGCAGCGCAGCAGCAGCAAAACGGACAAAGCCAAGAGGGGCCCTCGATGGGGTGCAGACGCAGCAGCAGCAGCAGCAGCAGCAGCAGCAGATGCTCCTGCTGCTGCTGCTGCTGCTGCTGCTGCTGCTGACTGCAAGCCCCTGGCAGCTGTTGGCTACCGACTCACCCCTCTGCCCTTCAGCCCGTACGAAAGCAGATGCAGCAGCAGCAGGCACAGCAGCAGCAGCAGCAGCAGCAGCAGCAGCAGCAGCAGCAGCAGCAGCAGCAGCAGCAGCAAGGGCTGCTGGGAGGAGGAGGACAAAGGGTCTATAGAGCACCTGAAGCAGCTGATGCAGAAGGCAGCAGCAGAAATTCGGGCAACAACAGCAGCAGCAGAGAGACACAAAAAGCTGAAGCAAAAAGCAGCAGCAGCAGCAGCAGCAGCAGCAGCAAAAAGAGACAACAAAGCCAACTCTCCAAACCCTAGGGGGCCCCCCTTGCTGCTGCTGGACACTTCGCTGCCAGGGGCCCCCAGGGGCCCCCCGAGGGGCCCCCAGGGGGCCCCCTCGGGGGACCAGCCCCTTGGCCGCGCTGACAGCAGCAGCAGCAGCAGCAGCAGCAGCAGCAGGGGCGGCGGGCTGGGGCCTGAGGGTTTAGGGTTTGAGGGTTTGACGTTTGGAGTGGAAAGGGCTTTTGAATCTTTGCTGGAAGAAGAAGAAGAAATGCGAAGAGAAGAGAGGGGCAGCAGCAGCTGCTTCAGCAGCAGCAGCAGCAGCAGAGCAGCAGCAGCAGCAGCAGCAACAGCAGCAGACAAACTCGCTAGAGATATATCCATTCGGTTTCCTGCTGCTTTCAAGCGGCTGCAGAAGCACATTTATAAAGACAGAGGAGCCCCCCGCCTCAATTAAGTTAATTGCAAAACAAATAAATAAAACAAATAAATAAAACAAATAATAAAACAAAAAATAAAACAAATAAAACAAATAATAAAACAAATAAAACAAATAAATGAATTAATTGAATTTGCACCGTCGCCGCCGCTCGGAAGCTGGGGTGTACGTACACCCCGCTGCAGCAGCAGCAGCAGCAGCAGCAGCAGCAGCAGCAGCTGCTGCTGCTGCTGCTGCTGCTGCTGCTGCAAGTAGGAGCGGAATGAGAGAATTGGAAAGCATTAGTGAACAAAAATTAGAAAAGATCTGCGAAATAAAATAGTTGGAGAAAAAGCAATTTTAAAAAGTGTATTACTCGCCAGTGGGCTCCAGGCGAGGGTTTAGGGTTTAGGGTTTAGGGTTTAGGGTTTAGGGTTTAGGGTTTGGGAAATAGAGCAACGTCGGCAGATTCCAATAAAAGATAAAAAGAAAATTTGAAATTGTTTTTGAAATAAAAAATGCAAAGTTGAACTTTTTTGAATTTGAATTTGAAGATTGAATTCACTTTTGAATTTAAATTCAAATTTCCGAAAATGTTTTAATTCAAAGTCCCAATTAAATGAATTAAATGAATAGTTAAATGAAATAAATAATTAAATGAATTAAATGAATTAAATGAAGAATTAAATGAAATAAATGGATTAATTAAATGAATTAAATGAATTAAATGAATGAATTAAATAAATGAATTAAATGAATTAAATAAATTAAATAGATATTTGATTTTAATTTCGTAATTGAAGAACTGTGGGAGTTGAAGTTGTTGATTATTTATTTGAAGTTAAAATAATTCAACTTTGCATTAAAATGAAAACTTCAAATGTTTGAACAAAAGTGAAAAAAGGAAAACAAAAAAGAAAAAGAGAAAAGACAAATCCAAGAAAACCAAAAAAGAAAAAAGAAATAAAAAAGAAATAAAAAGGAAGTAGAAGAGAGGCAAAAAGAAACAAAAAGAAATTAAAATGAAACAAAAATAAGACAAAAATAAAACAAAAATAAAACAAAAATAAAACAAAAATAAAACAAAAATAAAACAAAAATAAAGCAAAAACGAAACAAAAAGACAAAAAGAAAGAAGTTGAGAATACTTCAATTTGCATTTAATTCAAATAATCCATCGAAGGCTTTAATTGCATTTATTTCAATTCAGAAATAACTTTAAAATGTTTCAATTATTAAATTATTTCAAATGTTTTAATTCGAAACTTTTCAAATTTAATTTTTTAAAAAAAGTTTAAATTAAAATTAAATGAAAGTTATTCGAACTGCAACTCAAGTTAAATTTGAAATCAAATTTGAAATCAAATTTGAAATTAAATTAAAATTAATTTGAAATTAAATTAAAATTAGATTAAAATTAAAATAAAATTAATTCAAACATTTAAAAGTTTGTTCCACTTGAATGAAATTGGATTAAAGTGGAAATAAAAAAGAAATAAATTAAAACAAAAAAGAAATAAAATAGAAATAAATTGAAATAAATATAATTAAATTGCATTAAAAGGGAAATAAAAAAGAAATAAATTGAAATAATTGAAAATTAATTGAAGTAAGTAGAAATAAATGGAAATAAATTCAAATAAAACAGAGATAAATAGATATAAATGGAAATAAATTGAAATAAAAAGAAATAAATAGAAATAAAAAGAAATAAAAGAAATAAAAAGAAATAAAAGAAATAAAAAGAAATAAAAGAAATAAAAGAAATAAATTGAAACAAAACAGAATTCCAACAAAAGATTCGGCGAAAAGACGCATTTGAAAAAAAAAGAGTCGGGCTGAAAAGCTGCCGTTTGGAGAGTCAGCTGCTGCTGCAGCAACTGCAGCAGCAGCAACTGCTGCAGCAGCAACTGCAGCTGCTGCAGCAGCAACTGCTGCAGCAGCAACTGCAGCTGCTGCAACTGCAGCTGCTGCAGCAGCAACTGCTGCAGCAGCAAGTGCAGCAGCAGCAAGTGCAGCAGCAGCAACTGCAGCTGCTGCAGCAGCAACTGCAGCAGCAGCAACTGCAGCTGCTGCAGCAGCAAGTGCAGCAGCAGCAACTGCAGCTGCTGCAGCAGCAACTGCAGCAGCAGCAACTGCAGCTGCTGCAGCAGCAACTGCAGCAGCAGCAACTGCAGCTGCTGCAGCAGCAACTGCTGCAGCAGCAACTGCAGCAGCAGCAACTGCAGCAGCAGCAGCAACTGCTGCTGCAGCAACTGCTGCAGCAGCAGCAAAAGGGCTTTGAAGTTGCCTTTCCTTGTTCAATTCTGCATTTATTTCAAATTAATTTAAATTAATTCAAACTAATTCAAAATAAATTAATTCAAATTAATTTAAATTAATTCAAATTAATTCAAACCAATCCAAATCAATTCAAACCAACTCAACTAACCAACCAAATTCAATTAAACCAATTAAATCAAATTAAACTAATTCAATTTAATTGATTTAACCACTTATTTATTTATTTATTTATTTATTTATTTATTTATTTATTTATTTATTTATTTATTTATTTATTTATTTATTTTTTAATTATTTGAAAGCTGCGCCACGTCGGCCAAAAACTGCTTCGCGTTTACGACGCTGCTGCCCCCCAGGAGTACAGACACCCCAGCGCCGCTCAGCTGCTGCAGCTCCCGCTCTTCCTGGTAAGTCGCGCCCCCAATTACAAACACCAAAATCTGCAACAAGTTGCAATTTAAAGCAATTTAAAGCAATTTAAACAAATAAAATAATTAAAATAATTAAAAATAATTAAAAATACTTAAAAATAATCAAAAAAGCAATTAAAAAGCTTTTGAAATAATTGAAAAGCAATTAAAAGCAGTTAAAAGCAATTAAAAGCAATTAAAAAGCAATTAAAAACGATTAAAAGCAATTAAAGCAATTAAAACAATTTAAATAATTAAAATAATTAAAAAACAATTAAAAATAATTAAAATGCAATTAAAAGCAATTTAAAAGCTGTTAAAATAATTGAAAAGCAATTAAAAGCAATTAAAAGCAATTAAAAACAGTTTAAAGCAATTAAAAGCAATTAAAAGCAATTAAGAATATATAAAAAGCAATTAAAACAATTAAAAACATTTAAAAAACAATTAAAAATAATTAAAATGCAATTAAAAGCTATTAAAAACAATTTAAAAAGAATTAAAAACAATTAAAGACAATTCAAAAACAATTAAAAACAATTTAGCAGCTGCAGCTAACTGACACGCTACGTGCTGACCCCTAAACCCTAAACCCTAAACCCTAAACCCCAAACCCTAAACCCTAAACCCTGAACCCTAATCCCTAAACACTAAACACTAAACCCTAAACCCCAAAGCCTAAACCCTAAACCCTAAACCCCAAACCCTAAACCCTAAACCCTAAACCCTAGCACTTGCCGTCTGCGGCCCTTCTCTGGGGGCTGCTGCTGCTGTGGGGTTTTTGTTGGGGCCCAAAACAGCATAAGTGCTTTCTTTGAGTTTTCCTGAAAAGAATTCAAAAAGAGAAAATGGAATTTAATTAATTTTAATTAATTCAAACTCTGCTGCTGCTGCTCCTGCTGCTGCTCAAATTCTGCTGCTGCTGCTGCTGCTGCTGCTCAAATTCTGCTGCTGCTGCTGCTGCTGCTGCTGCTCAAATTCTGCTGCTGCTGCTGCTGCTGCTCAAATTCTGCTGCTGCTGCTGCTGCTTAAGTTCTGCTGCTGCTGCTGCTGCTGCTGCTGCTGCTCAAATTCTGCTGCTGCTGCTGCTGCTGCTGACTTGCCTTTGATGAGGGACTCGACCACAGAACTCAAAAGGCTTTTGTGCTGTGTATAGACATTGGCCACTCCCTGCAGCAAAAGTGGAAAGCGAAAATAAATAAATTTAATTCCATTTGATGCAAATAAATAATTTAAAATGGCAAACAAATTAATTAATAATAATTAATAATAAACACCAAATGAAATAAATCAAAAAACAAAAAAAACCACAAAAAAGCTGCCAATACACCTCAGGACAGCAGCAGCAGCAGCAGCTGCTGCTGCTGCTGCTGCTAAAGCCACAGCAGCAGCAGCAGCAGCTGCTGCTGCTGCTGCTGCTAAAGCCACAGCAGCAGCAGCGCAGCAGCAAAGTATACTTCTGCAGCAACCAAAGACAACTAAATAAACGCCAAGCAACTGACAAGCACTTAAACAAACAACAAAACAAAATAAATAAAATAAATAAATAAATAAATAAATAATAAATAAATAAATAAATAAATAAATAAATAACACCTGAAGTCCCTTGGCGAGATTCTTGGCAACTTGCAGCAGCGACTTGTCTCTGAAGAGGTCTTCAGATCTGCTGCTTCTGCTGGAGTACTGCAGCAGCAGCAGCAGCAGCAGCAGCGAGTCCGCGGGGAGGCCAGCAGCAGCTAATTCTTCCCGCAATGCTGCTGTGCTCTCGCTGCCTTCGTACCTGAGCAGCAGCAGCAGCAGCAGCAGCAGCAGCAGCAGCAGCAGCGAAAAGAAGCCTTTCAGAAGAGGGGATTGAAGCAGCAGCAGCACCTAAGCAGCAGCAAAAAAGCAAGGGCAGAAGCTGCAGCTGCAAAGCAGCAGCAGCAAGTGCTGCAGCAGCAGCAAAACCGCAGCAGCAGCAAACCAGCAGCAAATAATGCAGCAGCAGCCAGCACAGTAGGAGCTGCAGCAGCAGCAAACACAGTAGCAGCTCCAGCAGCAGCAGCAGGCACAGAAGCAGCTATAGCAGCAGCAGCGGCAAGCACAGTAGCAGCTATAGCAGCAGCAGCAGCAGCAGCAACAGCAGCAGCAGCAACAGCAGCAGCAGCAGCAGCAGCAGCAGCAGCAAGAGCGCGGGCCCTGCCTGATGCAGTAGAGGAGGGCGAGTCTGAGTTTGTCCAAGTTGGTGTTTTGTTTGTTTTGGATTTGGCTGCAGACGGCGGCGAAGTGCTGCTGCTGCTGCTTGCTGCTGCTGCTGCTGCTGCAGGCCAGGCTTTGCTCCAACTCCGACAGCACCAGCAAATTCCTCTCCCGCACAATTCGAGACAACTCGCTTATCACCCCCACGTGCTTAAACACAGAACCTGCAGCAGCAGCAGCAGCAGCAGCAGCAGCAGCAGTAGGGGAGCAGCAGCAGCAGCAGTCGCAGGAGGGCAGCAGCAGCAGCAGCAGCAGCAGCAGCAGTAGTAACGCAGCAGCAGCAGCAGCAACAACAACCGTAAAACGGCAAAAGCAGCAGAAGCGGTGGAAGGACCGCAGCAGGAGCGGGAGGAAGACAGCAGCAGCAGCAGCAAGGCAGCAGCAGCAGCAAGACAGCAGCAGCAGCAGCAGCAGCAAGACAGCAGCAGCAAATCGCAGCAGCAGCAGCAGCAGCAAACCCACTGGAAAGGCGGCGACTCTCGGGGAGTTTCTCGACGAAGTCTTTGAGGGCCTCCAAGCTGGTCAAACTGCTGCTGGCCTTCGTCTGCAGCAAAACATGAAAGTTGAATTTTGCAAAAGTTGAAATAACTCCAACTTAATGAATTTAATTTATTTTTTGAATTAAATAAATTAAATAAATTAAATAAATTAAATTCATTAAATGAATTCGAAAGATCTTCCGAAATAGAAAAGAAAGCAACAGAAAAGAAACGGAAGCGAAAGCTGCACGAGAACGCCGCGCGGCAGCCCGGGCGGAAACTCCTCGAAAAAGGTCTTTTTGAGCTCTTTTTTCCGAAAAATTCTTCGGAAAAAAACCAAAATAAACAAAAAAAGAAAATAAAATAAACTGGGAGAACAAAAACTGCAAAAAAAGGAAAGTTTCCGGAGATCGGCGGAAGTTCCGGAAGTTGCACTGACAGCGCTTCGAAGATCCCAACTGAAATCCGTTCAACTTCTCCATTTTGATTCATTTAATTTGCATTTTGGAACATTTAAAAGCATTTAAAAGACTCCAAACGCAACTTAATTCAAATAATTCAAATAAAACTCTTTTAAACTCACTTTCTCCTGATATTCGTTCACGTGCTGCTTCACCGCCAGCCCCAGCTCGCCGAAGTTCGCCATGCAGTTCTGAGGTGTACGTACACCCCGGAGCAAACGAAGAAAGCAAAAGAAGAAATCAAAAGAAGAATTCATTTTAATAATCATTTTAATAATCATTTTAATAATCATTTCATTTTAAGAATCATTTCATTTTAATAATCATTTTAATAATCATTTTAATTCGGAGTTCAGTTGGGAAACATCATTTCAACTTGCAACTTAGTTCAAATAATGTTGGCAAAACAATTCGCCAAAAAATTCTTCATTAGCCATTTGGTCTTTTCATTTAATTCATTCTTCAACTAATTAACAAACTGGACAATTATTAATGGATTAATTGGCTAGTTAAAAGTACTTCAGGATGGCTAGCTAGCCAGCTAGCTAGCTAGCTAGCTAGCTAGCTAGCTAGCTAGCCCGCCTAGCTAGTAGTCGCGCCAACTACAAAGCTAGCTAGCCAGATAGCTAACTGGGCGACCCGCTAGTTAGCTAGCTAGCCGGCTAGCTAGCCAGCTAGCTAGCCGGCTAGCTAGCCAGCTAGCTATCCAGCCATCTAGCTAGCTAGCCACCCAGCTAGCTGTCCAGCTAGCCACCTGCCTAGCTATCCAGCTAGCTATCTCGCCGCCCACCTAGCTAGCTAGCTAGCTAGCTAGCTATCTCGCCATCCAACTAGCTAGCTATCCTGCCAGCTAGCCAGCTAGCCAGCTAGCTAGCCAGCTAGCTAGCCAGCTAGCCAGCTAGCTAGCCAGCTAGCTAGCTAGCTAGCTAGCTAGCCACCTTCACCTTGCGGTAGAAGAGGTCCTGGCGTTCGTCCAAAAGGACTTCTTTGAGGTCCGAAGGCGCCGTCGGCGATTTGCTCAAATCGATTCGGTTGAAGCGAATGCCCAGCAGCTCGTGGGCCATTGCCTGCAGCAGCAGCAGCAGCAGCAGCAGCAGCAGCAGCAGCAGCAGCAGCAGCAGCAGTAGCGGCGGCTCGCTAGCTGGCTCGCCAGCTCTCTAGCTAGCTGCTTAGCTCGCCAGCTCGCCATCGGGGGAGCTAGCTGGCTAGCTGGCTATATATTTGCTTAGCTAGCTAGCTGGCCAGCTAGCTAGCTAGCTAGCTAGCTAGCTAGTTAGCTAGCTGGCTAGCTAGTCATTGCTAGCTGTTGCTATCTAGGTAGCTAGCTATAGGGAGCAGCAAACAAACATTCCCAGGGAAGAAGAACAAGCGGCAAATGCATGTGGAAGAATAAACCTAAAAGAAACGCTGCTGCTGTTGCTGCTGCTGCTGCTGCTGCTGCTGCTGTTGCTGCTGCTGCTGCTGCTGCTGCTGCTGCTGCTGCCTACGGTGTATGTCCACTGGTTCAGCAGCGGAGTGACCGGATCCTCCCGACGGTCAAAGAGCAGCACAACGAAACGGCCAGGTGCTGTTGCTGCTGCTGCTGCTGCTGTTGCTGCTGCTGCTGCTGCTGCTGCAGAAGAGATAAAGGAAACACAAAGCAAGAAATAGT